TGTGTATGTGTATGTGTATATGTGTGTATGTGTCTGTATGTGTATGTATGTATGTATGTATGTATGTATAGATGATTCTACCATATACGATACCATGCACACATACATTCCCGCATTCAGGCAGACGTGTGTGCGTCGTGTACGCAGCAGGCCGGAGCTGTCCAGTTGACAATAAGAAGAACAAGTAAAGGGCGTCGCGAAGGAATAATAATAACTAACAGCCAGAGAGCGAATCAAACCAGTATGACTTGCAAGCAATGAGCAGCTTCATCCCGATCCTTGGCTCTGAACAAACGAGCACTGATCATAGTACGGTAAACTAGATCAGCACCCAGGACTCTTATCACGGAATTCTTCCAACAACGAACACAAGCCCTCACAGTCAATTCAACTCTGCTCTTTGGAGCCATCCGGTCAGTGCAACATGTGGTGCCATTCACAAACATGCAAGCAATGTGGGACCAATGCAAGCATCACGCAAATCAAAGGTTCAGCCTGCTTCGAGGATGATTCGACAAGAGACATGGTCGGTTTGTCGCTGAGAGAGTTGAGAATGAAACTATATCATGAGCAGACAGGATGTCGCTCCTTTCTGCGAGAAGTACTTTGGTTGGCTACACCAGACAATCTGTTGTGGATGGGTAGGTACATCTCGAGAACAGCTTGCCTCCTCGCCGATGGTGGGCTGCAAACACCTCCGGGACACTTTCATCGGCTAGTTTGCTTCTTGTGGGCTGCGGGCCCATTGCCGGTGGAACCTAAAGGGTTTAATCGATCTGCGGACTGTTCCAAGGTGGACTCTTTGAGGAAGCCCCAAATAGCTCAGTGCTAAATTGTACCTTCGAGGGAATTGAGAACCTTCCCATGACCCCGAACATGGGGTCGTGGTACCACCAAGCACACTGCTAAGGAATCACGGCTGCACAGCGGCTTGAGATCCAACCCTGCAAACAAAACACTTTGCCTTTGCTCCCTTGCCCTCGAGGCTTCCCAGTGAAATCCCCGTCGCAGCTTCCCCAAGTCCAAACAACTTGGGTTGTGTCCATGGTCCTCGATTACCAACGCCGGGGCTTCTGCTTCGAGATGTAGCCCGCCCCTTCCTAGAAGTTATAGCACAGTCTGAATGTCGTCTCCGAAGCTCGAGACCCCGGAACCGAAAGCCTCCCGGTCAGGGTTGACCAGAAGCCCCACATGGCTTGAATTCTGCATGGTACCCCGAAAGTAGGGTCCAACACAGATGGGAGCACAATCTGATTTCGAGCCATGATATATTACATGTATGCACAATCATCATCAATGTACCTAGCCAAGCCAAGCCAAGCCCTTTACATGAGATGTCCAGGGCAGACGCTGAAAACCCAAACTGATCCCCAAATGGAAGCCCTGTTTGTTGCTGAATTCTATATAGGTAGTTGGGCATACTGCATCCTCTACAACAATTACCAATATCTGACATTTGGCTCCATGCGTCCGACTTACAGCACCTTGGCGCACGCTTCGCACGGAAGCGAGGTTCCTCGGAATTGGAATTCAGCAGGTGTTGC